TCTCTGCTGTTGTAAGTTCTTTTGAAGTGATTTAGATGGTCATAACCACGAAAGACACTAGATGGTCTGCATATACAGGCCACCACCTTCAAGAGCTAATAAAGTAAGTATTTCACAGTTCCATGCTGACTTTTCACATCTCATTGAGACACTAAACAGCCATAAGGGTTCATTTGTCCTCTTAGGTGACTTTAATGTCCACTTTGATCAATCAGTGAAGCCTGATCTTAAGAAGTGCATATCTGTACTGAGGGCCAATGGCTTGACACAACGTGTACTCCAGTCCACTCATATAGTGGTCATATCATTGACTGGATAATTACTAGAGACTCTGACACTATGATTGAGAATGTCTGTGTTGAAGATCGCATGATGTCTGATCATTGTTGGACTACCTTCTCGCTCTGCTTGACTCAACCTCAACCACAACATAAAACTGTATTGTGTCGAAATATCAAGGGCATTTGTCTTGACACTTTCAAGAAGGATCTCCTGGAAAGTGAGCCACTGACAAACCCTCCCGCTGATCTACAGATGTTAACTGACCTCCACAACTCTACACCGTCTGATCTCCTGGAGAAACATGCACCTGATGACAGTGCATGTAGGTCAAGCAATCCTTGGTATTGTGACGAAATTCGAACTGCTAAACAATCTCGACTAATTGCTGAACGAACATGGCGCAAATTAAGGCTTCATGTCTCAGAGAACTCTACAAACAGGAACGCAGCGATGTCAGGAAGATTATTCGTTCTTCTAAGAAAAAGTTTCATGAGGAAACTATATATCTTGTCTAATCTAAACAACCCCAAGTCTCTGTGGTCTCACATGTTCAAACTTCTGGAACGAGGAAAGGCTACACACTTCCTGATGCTGAAAGGGATGCCTCAATGGCTGATGAGTTCAACAGTTTTTTCACAGACAAGATAGCATCTATCATGAGAAGCTTTACACCGACTACTGACACTCAGTCAACCAACGAGCAAGTCCCTGTATGTCCTGAGTTCAGTGAATTTCAACCTTTGACAGATGAACAGGATCTACATCTGATCAAGGACTCTAAGTCCACCACCTGTGAACTGGACCCAATTCCTACTGATCTGCTGCTCCTTGTAGTGGATATCATTCTTCCCACCATCCATAACCAGGATTATCAAGTCCATTCTGGCAAGCGGATCAGTACCAGTCTTTTAAGAAAGTATCAGTCAAACCACTTATTAAAACATCCAACTTGGACAAAAACATAATAAAATACTACCGATTTGTTTCAAATCTGTCTTTTTTGTCAAAGATACTCGAAGAGGCAGTGAACAAGCAACTTTTATATCACTTAGAAGAACACAATCTCATGGCCAAGTTCCAGTCCGCATATAGGAAAGCCCATAGCACTGACACTGCTCTCCTGAGAGTACTAAATGACCTCCAACAGGCTGTGGATGATGGACAAGTTGCTGTGTTAGTTTTCCTGGACCTCTCGGCAGCTTTCGATATGGTTGACCATGGTAAGGTGATGCAAAGCCTGAAGATTGATTACGGAATCAGTGTCAGGGTTTTGTCATGGTTTCTTTCATACGTATCTGGGCGACAACACACGGTTGTGATCAAGAACTCGCACTCATCTACAGTCTCTGTGGACTACGGTGTCCCTCAAGGTTCTGTTTTGGGACCTCTGTTGTTTACCGTGTACACCAAGCAGTTGGAGGAGGTAATCCAGAGCTACAATGTCCTACATCATCTATATGCAGATGACACGCAGCGGCCAAGAAATGGAACGAATTGCGCGACCATCTGCGAACATGTCCAAGCCTGACTCTTTTTAGATCTCACCTCAAAATTCACCTTTTCTCAGTATCATATGACTGCAACTAGAACTCTTTGTATGTGGTATGAGCATGCCCCCGGCCTGGAATTTACTTATTATAATTATTATTACCACAGCAGCGCAGGATAAGTACATCCGGGTACTTCATTTGCAGAATCAACCTGCCACAGCAACTGCAACTGCAGTGCCTGGTTTGAGGTTAGTGTCGGCGCAAGCCATTCGTAATCCTTTACGAGAAGCTGGGCTTCGAACCAGGAGACTCTATTGCGGACCTGTACTGCGACGACTACATCGACGTCGACGTCGACGGGTCCAGTGGTGCAGTAACGTTCGCTTCTGGAATCTATAAAACTGGCGACATGTATTGTGCGTTTGGGTTCAAATGAGAACGATGAATGATTAAATATGTCGAAATAAGGATAAGTGCACAAAACATATGTTCGACACATGGTCCTGAAACCTCTGTACCCAACAGGATCTGAAATCTGATGTTTTATGATCGATCGCGGAAAATGTTGTTTAAGAGACCATCATGTAATGTTGTGCTGTTTTCACACTTCACACCGAGGGGTGACAAACGCACATTCAGGTGCAACTCAGCACAGCCATGTGAAATGACCCCAGCTTGTCAGGCGCGGTTCCACCAGCCGTTTGTCACCCCTCGGTGTGAAGCGTGAAAATAGCACAATATTACATATTTTCTTAAACAACTTTTTCCGTGATCGATAAAAAAACGTCAGATTTCAGATCCTGTTGGGTACAAAGGTTTCAGGACCATATATCTCATTTATGTTTTGTGCACTTATCCCAATTTTGAGTTATTTAATCATTTGAACCCAAACGGACTATATGGTTCAGCGATGAATCACGTTTTCTGCCTCAGTGCCGTGACGTACGAGTAAGTGTCTATCGCCAAGAATTGTGTCGTCCAGGGTGACCGACATGGTGGTGGAAGTGTCATTATGCGGGGGGAGTCATATCCTACACGCAGAATTCTAACTTTGTGGCCCTTAAGGGCAATTGAACTGCTATTCGGTACAGAGACAAAATCGTAAAATTTTAAATGGTTCTAATCACTGACAGCCAGGGGGAGTTGTTCCAGCAAGATAATGTCAGGTCTCACACAGCAATGCCACTATTCAGTATCTTCAGAATGAGAACATTCTTGTGCTTCCATGGCCTTCAAAACCACCGAACCTCAACCCCATCGAGCATTGGTGGGATGACCTTGGCTAACGCCTACGTAAACGTCAACTGGCGCCCCAGACGTTAGATCAACCGGCGCCCCAGATGTTAGATCAACTGGCGCCCCTGACGTTAGATCAACCGGCGCAGGCATGGGCCAGAATTCAATTCAATGAGACGTCCAGAGAAGTTTTTGGGGCTCATGATGGCCACAAGAGATACTGAAGACATCGCCCAACTGGGCACGGACGCCTTGACTTATTGAACTTTATACAAGCATGTTAACAGACATTTCATTTTTTATACTGTGATATATGAATGGAACAGATCAAGAACTACATGTGATATCTCACTTCAAAGTTAGCAGATTAAATTCGTGAAAATACACCTATGCGTTTCTATTTTGAGAGTGTGTATATTAAACATCAAAATGTTACAACACAACCTTCTTCCCCGATGTTTTACCACTTTTTCTGTATATAACCAATTAACCAATACAAGGAACCACGTTTACAAAGTATGTGGACAGTTTGCACCACTAATTACACAGTGTTAGAGTGGAAAAGAATGTGAACCTCGCTGTATCTCGATGATCTCTTCGTTAAGGTAGGCGTTGGCTCCCCATACAACCAGCTTCCGCACATGTTCTGGGTATTGTGCCGCGAGGATCAAACCGGTTGTTCCACCATCGCTGAAGCCAAGTACAGAAAACTTCTTTCGCCCGAGAGTCTGGAAGTTAAGAATATAACTTTCCTGATATAACTATAGTGATATGACAGTAATTGGGTTGTCTGTGGATTCCTTTCACTATAAAATGATTATATCATGAACAAAAAAAAGAAAGTTCACATTTGGAGAAATGAATTATATTGAAAATGGGTAGTACAATGCAGTTAATATGGCGAATACCAGGCCAGGTCGCGTCCTTATGCTGGTCCGATCCTGGCACAAGTGAGAAAGTGAGGTTAGCTTTACGCCGCACTCAGCTATATTTCAGCTATATGGCAGCGGTCTGTAAATATTCGAGTTTGGACGAGACAATCCAGTGATCAACAGCATGACCATCGATCTACGCAGCTGGGATATGATGACATGTGCCAACCAAGTCAGCGAGCCTGACCTCCCGATCCCGTCAGTCGCCTCTTATGACAAGCATGGATTACTGAAGATCTTCACGGGTTCTGGCACAAGTAAACCGTAATGAAGGTATATGCTGGCCACAGTTGGCTGCATTTCCTGCAAAATGCGAGTATTGATGTCATGAACTGGCCATCGTAATCACCTGACCTCAGTCCCATCGAACACGCATTGGATGCCCCCTGGAAGAAGTCTTCTAGACTTGAGACGTCAACCCAAGAATGTTCAAGTGCCATGTTCATACAACAATGGCGCAATTGCCTAATACTGCATTCACGGATATTACGCAGTCAATGCGACAACGTTGCCTTGCGTTGTGAATTCAAAGTATCAAGTACGTCACGGACAAAGTAGAGATGACCAGGAGGGTTGATAGAGCGACCCAGGTTATACACAATGGTTTGGAGGAAAGGGGATGCCTGGACCCACCAGTGGAACTGGGGTATCAATCACTGCACAGGAGTTGGACATCGGTCGCCCAATGATGGTGCTCTAGTTACAGACAGTCAAACTGTACCTGGTTGCTACAGATGGTTCTGTAACCAGTGATTCTGCTTGAGGTAGTGAGTATGTAATTCATAAATATTCCTGTAGAAAACAGCCGGGAACACCAGAAATGGGCTTAATGTTGGAGAATCGATTCAAGGTCTTAGGTTATGAGCAAACACTTTCACCACTTGACTACCCCACTGCATCTTGCTTGAGGTATATCACATTAGGACATTTTCATGATTTTATCAACTTTCAGCTTGACATTCTTCAACATAATTACCAATTTCGCACAAGAATCAGGACATTATGTATGATAATCAGTTATTGACCAAGTAAATAAACCGATCTGAAATTCCGACTGTACATTCATGACAGCAACTGCATCTTCTGCATCACGATGGCGGAAATTGATTGGCCAGTCACGCTCAGGGGGAATACTTCGTCCATAACCACGAGGATCAAAGCCAAATATCGTGAACTTTTCAGGATTCATCTTCTCCAGCTGGCAGTTAAAGTCCGTCATGGAACCGCCTGTAATCAGATTGGTGAATACGTGAGTGAGTGAGTGGTGAGTGAGTGAGTGATTTGACTGAGTGAGTGAGTGTTTGACTGACGGAGTGAGTGAGTGAGTGAATGAGTGACTCACTGACTGGGTGACCCAGTGAGTGAGTGAATGACAGAGTGACTGGGTTATTGAGCTATGGTACACAGAATCTACTCTATAATCTTGTTGTGGACAGGCAAACCAGTGGTTGGTAGGACAAGCAGTGACTTATACCACGCAGTGACTTATACCACGCAGTGACTTATACCACGCAGTGACTTATACCACGCAGTGACTTATACCACGCAGTGACTTATACCACGCAGTGACTTATACCACGCAGTGACTTATACCACGCAGTGACTTATACCATGCAGTGACTTATACCACGCAGTGACTTATACCATGCAGTGACTTATACCACGCAGTGACTTATACCACGCAGTGACTTATACCACGCAGTGACTTATACCACGCAGTGACTTATACCATGCAGTGACTTATACCATGCAGTGACTTATACCACGCAGTGACTTATACCACGCAGTGACTTATACCACGCAGTGACTTATACCACGCAGTGACTTATACCGCGCAGTGACTTATACCACGCAGTGACTTATACCATGCAGTGACTTATACCGTGCAGTGACTTATACCGCGCAGTGACTTATACCACGCAGTGACCTATACCACGCAGTGACTTATACCACGCAATCACTTATACCACACAGTGATTTATACCACGCAGTGACTTATACCACGCAGTAACTTATACCACGCGGTGACTTATACGCGCAGTGATTTATACTACTCAGTGATTTATACCATCGTGTTTCAAACTGAGACAGCTTGATTCGTATTGGGTTGCGCTTGCATTGGGTATAAGTAAGTGAGTGAGAGTATGCGTGAGTGAGTGAGTGGGCGAGCGAGGCAAACATCTCTTTATTCCACTTTGAAGAGTATTTCAGTTACATCACCCAAGAGATGCTTCTCCTAGATCCTTACCACCACACCAAACTAACATGGGGTATTTCTGGAAATCAAAAAATAGGATCAATTCACTCCTGGGTGTACAACAACACCGACAACTCCAGCACCATTTACAGCTGGAACACCCGGCTGTAACATCACAGTAATTGGCTTTCAACCTACCAATGGCTCCTGGCAGTAAGAGGACAGTATGATCCCCATATCCAAATTGTTCACAGTGAAAGTCCACTCCATTTGCCTTGACTTGTAGCGAGACTCTACGGACTGAATAGAACCTGCAAACAAAGTTTAAACACAGTTTCATTAATTTAAGACATATTGATCGCTCTACCCCCAAGTATAGTGTAATAACGCACAGTGTGCCCTGAACTGTTATAGTTCAATCAGAGGCCGCTATATTAACGTTATTGTAGTGTCTCCACCAGTGACGGTAACCGACTGAAGCAACTGCAAACCACCAAGAAACGTGGTGCAACGCAGTTGGTCGTACTGTAGGAGACTGTTCTGAGCAGTGACAACTGACATGCATCGTGACGTCGGTTACCAAGGGTACGTTTGATAACGAGGGGCAGACTAGAATGGCGTAGTGACGTCAATACAGTGTGACGTAATGCAAAACTAAATGCTACTCAATTTATAATTTGTGTGTCGGCGCCTTTGATCTTTTAGCGAAGCATCATAAAACACACACGATAAACTGATATGATCATGGTACTGTGTGAAGTAATGATTCCACAAATGTCTTTTTATGTGCCAAACCGGTACAAGCTGTCAATAACAATTTTCACCTAGTTTTTTGGTCTAGCCTTGTGAATTAATACATCTGACAAAATCCTTCACTCAGATGATTACCTGACTAAAGAAGCATGAATTATCATGACAATACACCTGAATCACTTCATGCAGCAGCTGCCACAGGCATGGTGATGGTATGTGATAACAGCTTGTAATTTATACATAAATGACGATGGGTCGTTTTTGATCGTAGTATATGTGTTATTTTAAGTAATGTCTAAACCTCAGTACAATCGCTGACAGCTGACAGCTGAGGGGAGATGTAAATCCAGCTAGGGTTCATGCAGCTAGAAAATGTACTGTACGGTGACCTACCGTCAATTATCGGTTACCTATAGACCGGTTTTATATCGTATTGTTCTAATTTTAATGTTATGTGCCAGCTAGTTTTAAATTTTAACTGTGATATTCTAGTTGTTTTACTGTCTATTGCTGACAGATTTTATAATGAAACTATATTTCTTACCAAATTATAACTTGTTTTAGTCACGATATGGCTGATATACTGCCGATGTGACTAAAACCTTAACTCACTCACTCACTGTCACATACTTGGACATGGTATGTGAACAGAGCATATCATTTATATATAAATAACAATGGGGCTGTTGTTGGCACGGGCACTACAGCTACGTACGCCAGATACGTTCCTCTGCCAAACACAGAATACAGAAACACACTCTAGGACGAATCTACTTGATCGAACTATCACACTATTGTGTGAGATACTTTTGATTGCGTTATATAAGAAACGAACATGCACAGCGAAGAATATTTCACAGTGAACAGTATCACTCGTAACATGTGTGATACCTCGTAAGTGGTGTACATACCTGTACATACCTGTACATACCTGTCTATACCTGTACATACCTGTACATACCTGCACATAGCGTCCATGTTGACAACGACCTATTTGGGATAAATAACACAAGCCAGGCGATGCAGTGTACATTAGCTACTTCCCAGAAATGAGTGACATGTGTTTAGTTTCATTCCAGCAAATATCACAGCGGGTGGACACTCGGAATTGGCGTCACACATTGTACCCATGTGGAGAATCGAACCGGGTCTTCGGCGTGACGAGCGAACGCTTTAACCTCTAGGCTACCCCACCCCCACTGCAAATGTCGGAGTGACGGGCTTCATGGCATATATCTGTTATTAAGCCAGGAATGATTAGAATGCTAACCACGGGTCTGTTTCTTGTTCTATGCAGTGTATGATCAACTATAGGCCTCACTACGGACTACACAATATGGCAAAATGTAAAAGATTCACTCTCTCGTTACAGTTTTCAGCATGATTAGAAAATGTACTGACCTCAAGTTCCAGCAGACTGAAATATAAACACAATACGTGATCTGGCATTCAACTCTGACAACTTCACCGACCACACTTCCATTTCTAACACTGCATGTTCTTGTCGGCGAAGAAACCCAACCTATCCTTCAGAAGATTGTACACAGCACCTTTAACGACGGGAACCATGTTGTGTTGATGATGGTGAAAGCCACTTTGTAACATAGAACATAATTAAACATGCATGTCATACCGAACATTGTGGTGGAACTGTTCCTTGAATGCAGTCTTTGAGCTTCGTGGTAACAGACGTCGTACCCATTGCTGAGCTGAAAGTGATAAACAGCCAGTGAAAATACCCATCTTCCGAATACAAATCACGCGGACCATATTTTATAAGGGATGCAACACTGGTTATTAGAATGTTCAACTGGACCTTCGAGGCAGCTTTATAAATATGTTACCAGCCTAGTAAATAGTTACTGGAGTTATATGGTGTATAGTTGTATAGTGTGCGAGCGGTTATTTCGATCAATGGACCAGAAATGAAAAAAATAACAAAACATGAATTACCCTCTACCGTAATTTACATTACAATGGTATCCAATTAATTCATTAATAGATGTGACAATGTACTCTACCCGGTGTAACTAACAGCAGAGAGGAAGCATTGTTTTCACATTATATATCTTTCTGCCATATTGTTAACAGCCTGTTCAGTAATTTTAATCAACTGCCAGGGAAACGTAAGTACACTTCCATAATTGATGGTTGCTAACGATGTGTTTGATATGAGTATCATTATTTGAACTGCTTTCAGTCTCATAAAGTCTTGATAGTGATTTGTTTGTCAAATACATTTTCAAGTATTTATTTCCAATCCTCGGCAGTGTAAAGTACAGGAAGTTATTGTAGTGTGGTACGTTTCATATGTTTCTCCAGGATGACACGACATTCATCTGTGATTAATACAGTCAGTGACAATACGTTCCCAGTAACAAGGCAATGGCAGCGTAATCGGCAAACAAGAACGCATGGTGCCAAGATGAAACACTTATAGCAATCAGAAAAACAATAGATGATTATACAAACTTCAAGGAATTCTAACATTTTATCAGGAAAACCAAGCGTGTTTAAATTCAATTAAAGAATGATAGATTATTAAACATTTCAACATCAGTGGATTTTTGGCTATCGTTTGTAAACTGCATTATACATATTTGACCTGAACAGAAGGGTTATCTGTATCCATGGCATGTATCTACATATCACAGTGTGGGTTTTCACTTAATAATTGTTCAGTATTATTTATTTGGCCGTGTATTTGATATTTTTTTACTTCATATTTGTTGCTCGCCTTTTTGCATGAATCTACACCTCATCTCATTATTATTGAAAAGTTATAAAATACCCCTAAATATACATGAAGCATTTGATTCACGTATCTGTGCGTACTTCATACCACGGCTTGCAAAATTCTGCGTATTCGCGCTGGAGTATGCTGTAGACTGGAAAGGCCAGAAATGAACTCGCCAGACCTTTTTGGTGTCCATCGAAGACGATCTTATCTCTATCAAAATTTGCCTCGTACCGGCCGCCCACGCGTGACGTCACGTCAACAAGACTACCACATTCGGCTGACCCATCTAAGAAATCAATTCTAGACTGCTAGTTTGACTACACGGGCCATTCCTGGCGTGTGTGACCTGGCTGATGTACACACACTGTCTTTTCTGACCTGACTGGTGTACACACACGGTCTTGTCTGACCTGACTGATGTACACACACGGTCTTGTCTGACCTGACTGATCTACACACAAGGTCTTGTCTGACCTGACTGATGTACACACGATCTTGTCTGACCTGATTGGTGTACACATACGGTCTTGTCTGACCTGGATGATGTACACACACGAACTTGTCTGACCTGACTGATGTACACACACGGTCTTGTCTGACCTGACTGATGTACACACACACGATCTTGTCTGACCTGACTGGTGTACACACACGGTCTTGTCTGACCTGACTGATGTACACACACACGGTCTTGTCTGACCTGGCTGATGTACACACACCGTCTTGTCTGACCAGGCTGATGTACACACATACGATGATCGGAAATACAGATTTATTATCCGGACATAACAAAGATGCAGGCTAAACACTGGAACAAATGGCAGACATCACTAACAGTTAATTAGCGCCGAATGGACGCCAACACTTAATGTTTAAATAGTATTGATAGGTGATGAACAGTGGACAGCTTGAAGCCGGAATTAAGTTAAAGGGAATAGAGGGGAGGCAAGCGAGTAAGTGAGTATGGGTTTACGCCGTTATAACAATATTCCAGCAATATCACGGCGGGGACACCAGAAATGGGAATCAAACCCGGGTCTTAGGCCAAAGCTTTAACCACTAGAGATGGGTGGGAGGTAGCGGGTTGTAGCACTAATAGATAGACACAATAGAGATTGTCAAATTGAAGCCAGAACAAACAAATAGAAGCCAGCACAAAATAATTAGTACCGACATTGATGAAGCAATGACTGCAGACAATGATCAAAGGTCCTATGTTTTTATAGGCGCTAAAGCAGGTTAGTCCCCTGGTCGTGGTTCATGGCTGGCTGTTGCCAATGGCTTCTTGCAGTTTTCTTTGTCGCCAGTTGTCGGACAGGACTTTGGTGGCTTCGTTTGTTGATAGAGGACATGCGTTCTTTGAGTCTGGTGTTAAGGGATCTGAGGTGGCCTCCGATGTTTTGGTGGCCATAGTTGCAGGGGATCTGGTTGAGTACATCCTCTGGGGTTGGGGCTAGCGCTGCTGGGGCCTCTGCCATTGGCTCGCAGATAGATCTTGGTGGTCTTGCCGCTCCTCTGTCAACAAACTAGACTTGAAATCCGCCATCTCTTGTTTATCACTTCTAAATTCCATTCAAAGACCTGATTAAAATGCGACAAAAATGAAGAAAATATAACAGTTTCCGATATTTTAAATACAACAGTTTTAGATATTTTATTGGCCAGTAAGCAAAGACAGAAAGTAATTATGTAATGAAAGCTTGTCAAGTCGGTACATCCTCATTCCAGGAGAAAGCCTTCCACTATCTTGTTGAATTCGTCAGCTTTGTTCATATGAATGTGGTGATTCCCCTCCGGAAAATTGTGCAACCTGAACAGGAAAAGAGTCTGTCACATCTCATGTCATTACAGTCACTGTTGCTAGCTTTCAGTCAACAAGATTCCAGCAATACAACCCTAAAATAATCAAGCCAGGATCAGACAATCCTGTGATTGTAAACATGAGCAACGGTCCACATTATGTTGATCATCAAGTGGTTGGTGAGGGTCAACACCCAGTCTCCATCGGGTACAAATCACCCAGAAGATGTTCCATTACTGCATGTCATCGTGTCTTGATCGTTAATCACAATATCAATCACAGACTTAGTTATTTGAAAACCAATGTTATGGCGAGAATACTTCTGAGAAAACGTTGACAACAGGCAATGTCAAAGTCATACAAGTCCGCAAAGGACTGCCTGACTGAGTTTAGTTTTACGCCGCTTTTAGCAATATACCAGCAACATCCCGGCGGGGACACCAGAAATGGGCTTCACACAGTCCGCAAAGAAATCAATTTCGCCCAGTTTAGAATAGACTAACCTGGATCCAGAACAACACTTTGCCAAACATTAATCCAGTAGAAACCATCAAAGCTTAGTCATCCATCAAATTACTATTCAAATTAATCTGCATTAGAAACATCAACCTCCGTTGAATACAAGGGTCAATAAAATGTATGAATGTTTGTTCAGTTATTAATTCCTGGAGTTAATAATATCTTCAACAATTTGAAACCTGGTTACATATATATCCTGTGATCAAATGACACAGAGATGACAAACCTTGAGTTCTGTATATGTTTGTTGAGATACACAGGATGTTCTGCCACCACCATGGGGTCCTTCATGCCGTGGAGAATGAACGTCGGACACGTGATGTTCTTCAGTTCCGCCTTGCAGATGTCACCTGGCAGAGTGTGTGATAAATTGGGCTGCCGTGTGAATGAGGTTTTACTCCTTTTCAAGCAATATTCAGTATGATGAACTAAAACCTACCTACTTGGCTGCCCCAGTAGCCCTTTATCTGGCAGTAGCCCTGACTGGTGGCCCAGTCATCTAAACCATTGTAATTCAATATGCAGAACTGTGAGCCAGAAACTTAGGATCAGAGGTTCAAATCCATGATTAACCCTGATTACGTCTTATTGTTTCATAGAACCATACCATATGTTTTCACTCGGGGTGAAACGGTATGTTCTTATCACGGTATTGTACGTACTGGTTACAAGGCCTTCTGTTTGGTCCGGTTCGGTATATGATCATAATGCAGAAAAATGACAAGAGCCAAACCCTACATTGCTTAATAACATGCAACAAGAAATAACCATAATCTTTGTTATTTTGAATGAACAAAACTGTCATTTAAAAGGTTAATAAGAAGGCGGTGCGAAAACCGAAAATATCGAATTTTTGGATTGCATTACGGTATACCGAACCGAAGGCAAAATTTCCGTGGTTATACCGTTTCACCCCTAGTTTGAACAAAGTTGTAAACATCTAAGATGTGCAAACGGATCTGTTTTGCTGTTCCTCCCACATCTGACTGCAGTACCCTGACATATGAACTGTTAAAACCGGGATTTAACCGAACTCACTCCACTCACTCTGACTATCAGTGAACATACCTTTGCTGTGTCTGATGCAGCTTCTGTTTGCCTTGCCCCAATTGCTCCAGTGAACCTGGAGGTACGTATCCCCATACAGTTGGAGAAACGGGTCCCTTCTCTTGGCACTCCAGTTATAAATATCCTCTATACCTAAAGGCAGTGCATAGAATTAGTAGCGCATGCAACAACTGTCACATCACGCAATGCCTGTTGGTGGGTGTGTCGGATGGGTGTGTCGGATGGGTTGGCAGGATGGGGTGTGTGTGGACGAAGAGGGGTGTGTGGACAAAGAGGGGTGTGTGGTAGAGATGGCGTGTAAGGGTGTGGAAGATTGGGATTTGGGTGCCATGTGCTGCGGGGTGGAGTGGTAGGGATTGGTATGTAGGGTGGAAGTTAGGGGCCGGGGTACCACGTGCTTGGGTGGAGTGGTATGAGGGCTGGAGTGAACAGGATGGTTGAATCAGCGATCCAGGTTAGTAATATCGTTATCGACGTCGATGGGTCGAGTGGTGACTTAAGAGTATGTGTCAGTCGACGTCGAAATGAACGTTTTGCCCTGAATTGTGCAGCCCAGGGTGACCGATATGGTGGTGAGAGTGTCATTGTGCGGGGAGCCATATTCTACACGCAGAAATCTAACTTTGTGCCCTCCAGGGCAATTTAACTGCTATTCGGTACAGAGACGAAATCTTAAAGATTGAAATGGTTCCGATCATTGGCCGCCAGGGGTTGTTCCAGCAAAATAATGCCAGGCCTCACTATTAAGACTCTTCAGAATGAGACCATTACAGTGCTTCCATGGCCTTCAAAACCACCCAACCTCAACCCCATCGAGCATTTGTGGGATGATATTGGCCAACGCCCACGTTATACATGTTAACAAACATTTTGATTTTTATACTGTGAAATGTGTGTGGAACCGATCCAGAATTACACGTGATATCTCACTCGTGCAAATACACCTATGCACCTATTTGCGTACAGTGTTGGAGTGGAAAGAATGTGAACCGTGTAAATACAGCAAGATAATCTTAGGAAATGTGGACAGCCAGGGGAACAAATTAGTATTGTTTCAATTAGGAGGTTTTCTAGCAATGACATCCCTGCGAAGAACGGTACTTGAGTTGCTAGGATACAGCTCTATACCTCGGTGTTTCTCGATGATCTCTTCGGTAAGGTAGGCGTTGGCTCCCCATACAACCAGCTTCCGCACATGTTCTGGGTATTGTGCCGCGAGGATCAAACCGATTGTTCCACCATCGCTGAAGCCAAGCACAGAAAACCTCTTTTGTCCGAGAGTCTGGAAGGTAAGAACAAAACTTCCCTCATATTACTATAGTGATATGGAAGAAAGTGGGTTGTCTGCGGCTTCTTATGACTATAAAATTAGGATAATATCATGAAAAAAGAAATTTGGAGAAATAAATTATATTAAAATGGTTGTATGGGCGAATACCGTAACAGGCAGGTTGCGTAACTGCCCGACCATACGAACCCCATCTTCGTGCCCGGCGTTCTCATGTTAGGTCGATTCTGGCACAAGTAAACCATAATGACCGTATACGCTGGGCACAGTTGCACCTGCAGATGGCTATGGTGGCTGATTAGGGCCATCTCGTCTCGCGTTATCGCTTTCTCGTCTCGTGCTATCGCTTTCTCGTCTCGTGTTATCGCTTTCTCGTCTCGTGATATCGCTTTCTCGCTTTCTCGCCTCCGAATTTTAAGGTGAGAGCGATGGCCCTAATCAGCCACCATAGAACGCTACATTTCCTGTAAAATACCCGTATTGACGTCATGAACTGATCACCTGACCTCAATCCCATCGACCAGCTCTTGGGAAAAAGTCTTCTAGACTTGAGACGTCACCCCAAGAATGTTCAAGCGCTGGCCGCCATGCTAGTACACCAGCGGCGTAAGGTGCCTAATACTGCGTTCACGGACGGGAGGAAAGGATGCCTGGAGCCACCAGTGGAACTGGGGTATCAATCACTGCATAGGAGTTGAAAATCGGTCGTCCAATGATAGGACTCTAGTTACTAGCAAACTGTACATGGTTTCTACAGATGGTTCTGTAACCAGTGATTCTGCTTGTAATAATGTAATTCATAAATATTCCTGTAGAAACAGCCGGGAACATCAGAAATGGGCTTAATGTTGGAGAATCGATTCAAGGTCTTTTTGTGATGAGCAAACACTTTCACCACTTGGCTACCCCACTGCATCTTGCTTGAGGTATATCACATTAGGACATTTTCATGATTTTATCAACTTTCAGCATGACATTCTTCAACATAATTACAAAATTCGCACAAGAATCAGGACATTATGAATGATAATCAATTATTGACCAAATAAATAAACTGATCTGAAATTCCGACTGTACATTCATGACAGCAACTGCATCTTCCGCATCACGATGGCGGAAATTGACTGGCCAGTCACGCTCAGGGGAATACTTCGTCCATAACCCCGAGGATCAAAGCCAAAGATCGTGAACTTTTCTGGATTCATCTTCTCAGCTGGCCGTTAAAGTCCGTCATGGAACCGCCTGTAATCAGATTGGTGAATAACTGAGTGAGTGAGTGAGTGAGTGAGGTGAGTGAGTGGTGAAGAGAGTGGCAAACAGCCCTTTATTCCGCTTTGATCAGTATTTCAGTTACATAACCCTTGTCTTAGATGCTTACCACGACACCAAACTAACACGGGACATTTCTGGAAATCAAACCAAGGATCAATTCACTCCTGGGTGTACAACAACACCGATAACTCCAGCACCATTTACAGCTGGAACACCCGGCTGTAGTACAACATCACAGTAACTGACCTCTAACCTACCAATGGCTCCCGGCAGTAAGAGGACAGTATGATCCCCATATCCAAATTGTTCACAGTGAAAGTCCACTCCATTTGCCTTGACTTGTAGCGAGACTCTACGGACTGAATAGAACCTGCAAACAAAGTTTAAACACAGTTTCATTAATTTAAGAAATACTGTTCGCTCTATCCCCACGTATAGTGTAATAAAGCACAGTTTGCCCTGAACTGTTATAGTTAAAGCACGAGGCCGCTATATTAACATTATTGTAGTGTCTCCACCAGTGACGGTAACCGACTGAAGCTACTGCAAACCACCAAGAAACAGGATGCTACATAGTTGGTTGTGCTGTAGGAGACTGTACTGGGCAATGACAACTGACATTCATCGTGACGTCGGTTACAAAGGGTACGTTTGGGTACGTTTGATTACGAGGAGGCAGACTAGAATGGCGTAGTGACGTCAATACAGTGTGACGTAATGCCTGATAAAGTACTGTCGCCGCTACTGTGTGAAGTAATTCCACAAATATCTTGTTATGTGTCAAACCAGTACAAGCTGTCGAAACAATTTTCACTTTGTTTTTCGTATATCTATGTGAATTAATGATAAACATCTGACAAAATCTTTCACTCAAATGATTACCTGATTAATGCAACATGAATTATCAAGACAATTCACCTGAATCACTTCATGCAGAAGCTGTCAAATAAATAGACATAACGATGGGGTTGCTTTTAATCGTGGTATATTTGTTATTTTAAATGATGGCAAACCTCAGTACAATCTCCAGCAACTAAGGGGAGATGTAAGTCCACCTAGGGTTCATGCAGGTAGACAAAGTACTGTGAGTATGGTGATCTGATCTACCTTCAGTTGTTGGTGATCTATAGCTCGGTTTTAATTGTGTTCTAATTTTAATGTTATGTGCTACAGTCTGTTTGAGTCAGAAACGGACCGATGAATTGCAAATTTTATCATTGTACAAAATTGCCACATAAATATAAATAGTACACATGTTTATCATTTACTAATACCCAACAGCTTTATATATTTGAAAATTTTCCCGGAATCCACCAAAAGGTTCTTTAAGAAACTATCATTAGAATTTTGACACAGTTCACTATTTGTTACGAGGGAGGAGTGCAGAGAAAGGGACATCCAGGTGTGCGAGAAAGGATGGAGACGGCACAGCACAGGCTAATGAATCAATAACTTGGTGGGCACTTGTGCACGTGCTTCGCTAACACCTGGCTGTCCCTTTCTCTCCACAATTTCTGAAACACTCGCTTTCACACATAAAATATGATACTTGTTTTGGTACAGTCTGTGATCTAAAGTGAATTACTTTCGCTTTTGCACTGTTAACAGTGCAGTCATTCTGTTTGAAACACGCCGAAGAAGGGTGTCAGAAGATCGTTAAGTCGGATACAGCACTGTACATTTCTATACAAGGATAAAAGAGATTTCAGCATACTGTCATTTATGCCTTTGTTTTGAGTTTCTCCACAACACGTTTCGATCTATGCAATCATAGGCTTTTCTAAAATCAATAAAAGCGACATATGTAGATTTCTTCATCCCTTTGCGTGTTTCTATAATGGAGGTGACACTTTCTATACATTGCGTGGATGAACCCGTTCTGAGAGTCACTAACTAGCTGGTTATTTTCTGCAAAAAGAGGTGAGTCTGTTATTTAGTATACCACAGTACAGTTTGTAACAAGAACAATGATTTAGGTATGGGTGTTATGACGCTCTTCGCCCACACTGATGGAACTATGCCATAGAGAAAACATTGATTAAAAAGTCTATGTAGGAACATCAAAGTGTTGTCATTCTTCAGTCCTTCTGTTGGGATCTCGTCTAGGCCAGGTGATTTACCTCCCTGTGCAGATAGCAATACTTTCCTCACCTCATCAATAGATATAGGTTGGTTCAATTCACTATCCGGATCACTCCCAGGACAGGGAGATCGATCAGGGTTCACACTAACATTACAATATAAAAGATTAAAATACGCTGATTTCCAAGTGTCTAAAAAACAGTCTCATTATCTGCTGCAGATAGACCCAGTCTTCAAAACGCACCTCCATAGGAATCTGTTTCTTTCTCTCGTGCCCCACTCCAACCTTACCAATTGTTTTTCCAAAATTCACCCGAATTATTTTCACATAGTTTATCTAGGTTTTGAATTGTTTTAATCTGAAAGTCTATCTTGGCTTTTTTCGCCCGTCTGTCGAAGTATTTACGCTTCTGGATACACACGTTTAAAAAGTCTCCTCTGTACACCTTTGCATTTACACCACTGCTTCTCTGCTTTACACATTTCATTCCACAACCCAGATGTTAGTCCACCATTCCTTTCGACTTCTTCGTCTCTTGTTACTACGGACTCCACCAAATAATACAGTCCTAGTGGGAAGAGTTCTATGCATCTCACTCCGGACACATTCTAAAAATCAGTAAAAGCATTGTCGATATTATCCTGTGTTGACTGGAAAGATTCAAGAGAAGCAATAATGTCAGCAACATATTCAGAGATATCAGCTGACCGCCTCCGTGGTGTAGTGGTTAGTGCATCCGCCCGGAGAGCGGAAGTTCGTGGGTTCGATCCCCGGCCGCGTCATACCAAAAGACGTTAAAATATGGTACTTGTTGGTCCCTGTCTGGCGCTCGGCATTAATGGGTACAACAAGGACTGGTCGGGTCGGAGTCAGTATAATGTGTCTGAGTGGGGTATTCATGCTTCACTGCGACATGGTATCTCAGTGGGCTAGCACTGTAAAACCAGCTTCAGTCTGGGCTAGTACAAGCAGCCGCACATACACATACATTACACGCATGCACGTCGTCATATGAGCGAAATATTCTCAAGCACGACGATAAACCCAATTTCACCTCACCTCACCTCACCTCAGAGATATCAGACGAAGTCATGAAAGTATTTGGAAGATTGGACACGTCACATAAAATTTTCTTTTCAGCTTCCGGTTCCATCTGTCTCGTAGACGGAGATTCATCGTACATAATGTTAAGTTCCAAGTCAAAAGGAATGATCTAATTTAAGTACAGATTGTACTGACACAGTCACTTCAATTGGCGATTTCAGTGTGTCGAATTGCCTTAAAATCACCGAGTTCGTTTAAGTCTTTGTATGCACAGAGACAGTAATCCACAACCGACGTTCCTCTGGGAGACACGTACGTAAAATCGTTATCACGCATTCACAGAGTTATCTAAGATTTCTCTGTCAGGTAGTTGATCAACACCTTCAATATAATCCAACAAGCCACAACACCTGCTGTTAAGATCACCACATATAAACGTTTTGCCAGGTTGGTGATAGGGTCGCCACTTGCGCTAAAAAGACAGTCATAAACTTCGAGACGCGACATATTCAGCGCAAAAGAAATGCATGAACTATCTTTGAGATGATCCCTTGTGCTTGGAGGCAGCACATGCATTTCATGACAGGTGAGTGGACCTAATTGCCATCTATAGTCTGATCTATTTTTTCAGCAGCTTTTCTGGAAATCCAATTACGCATTTCACTGAACGCCCAGTTAGGCCGATGTGGGATATTTCGACATATGCTATTTGCAATTGTGTAAATGTTAGGGATACAGAGTAACAGTCTAAACATGTTTTTCTCTCTCTATTTCCGACAGTACTTTAGTACCCAACTCACAGGACAGAGTAGCATTTATTTAGTTCCAGTAAGCTCAGATAGTAAACTTTACAGACATCTTTGGTAATCTATGTGCTTTGAGCATGTCCCTCAGTGACGTGGAACTAGCGTTATATGAATAACATTATTATTATAAAATGATGCAAAGAGACATTCTGGCTGGTAATCTACACACTGCATATGACTGAGTGACGTGGTTCATGGCATATTTCTGTTATTAAACCAGGAATCGGTACAAGATTCTGTATCGGAACGTTGCACTCACGAAATAAAGATATTGTTCTCCATAAACTTTGTTCAATATTGTGCGTCACAACCTCTAAAATGCCACTCAAAGAAGTTAAACCAGGAATGATTAGAATGCTAACCACGGGTCTGTTTCTTGTTCTATGCAGGGTATGATCAACTATAGGCCTCACTACGGACTACACAATATGGCAACATGTAAAATTATTCACCTCTCGTTACAGTTTTCAGCATGATTAGAAAATGTACTGACCTCAAGTTCCAGCAGACTGAAATATAAACACAATACGTGATCTGGCATTCAACTCTGACAACTTCACCGACCACACTTTCCATTTCTAACACTGCATGTTCTTGTCGGCGAAGACACCCAACCTATCCTTCAGAAGATTGTACACAGCACCTTTAACGACGGGAACCATGTTGTGTTGATGATGGTGAAAGCCACTTTGTAGCATAGAATATAATTAAACATGCATGTCATACCGAATATTGTGGTGGAACTGTTCCTGAATGCAGTCTTTGAGCTTTGTGGTAACAGACGTCGTACCCATTGTTGAGCTGAAAGTGATAAACAGCCAGTGAATATATCCTTCTTCCGAATACAAATCACACGTGCCATAGCTTACAAGGGAAGTAACTCTTTGACTTGAGGATTCGTAAAATAGTTATTAGAATGTTCAGCTGGACTTTCGAGCCAGCTTTATGAAAAATGTTACCAGCCTATTAAATGGTTACTGGTGTTTGCATAATGCGCGGTCGGTCATTTTGAACACTGGACCAGAAATGGAAAATAATAACAAAACACGAATCACCCTCTACCGTTATTTACATTAGAATGGTGTTTAATTAATCAATTTAATTAATGGGAAGAGGTGCTATACCCTGTGTAACTAACAGCAGAGAGGAAGCATGGCTTTCTCATAATATATCTTTTCTCCCGTATTTAGTCTGCCATATTGTTAACAGCCTGTATTCAGTAATTTTAATAAACTGCCAGGGAAATGTAATTGTACAACCATGATTAATGGTTGCTAAACTAAGACAAAACATGGGTATTTGCTAACGTAGTGTTTGATATGAGTATCATAATTTGAACTACTATCAGTCTCATAACGTTTTGATAGTGATTTGTTTGTAAAATACATTTTCAAGTATTTATTTCCAATCCTCGGCAGTGCGAAGTACAGGAAGTTATTGTAGTGCGTTAGGTTTCATATGTTTCTCCAGGATGACACGACATTCATCTGTGATTAATACAGCGAGTGACACTACGTTCCCAGTAACAATGCAATGCCAGCGTAATCGGCAAACAAGAACACATGGTGCCGAGATACAATGATAGATTAAGCATTTCAACATCAGTGGACTTTTGCTATCGTTTGTAAACTGCATTACACACATTACACAAGTATCCAGGGTAGAATGTCAGGATCCCAGCCCCACTCATTAAACAAAATAACTTATTAAACATTCGCACTGGTCAGTGAGATAATATTGCCCCTCGCTAATGATGAACGTGCTGGCCAGCTAATTATAGTACTGGCCAGGGGATTGAACATTTCATGACAGGTGAGTCGACCTAATTGCCATCTATAGTCTGATCTATTGTTTTCAGCAGCTTTTCTGGAAATCCAATAACGCATCTCACTGAACGCCCAGTTAGGCCGATGTGGGATATTTCGACATATGCTATTTGCAATTGTGTAAATTTTAGGGATACAGAGTAACAATCTAAACTCTTTTCTCTATTTCCGACAGTCCTTTAGTACCTAACCCACAGGACAGAGTAGCATTTATTTAGTTCCAGTAAGCTCAGATAGTAAAGTTTACAGACATCTTTGGTAATCTATGTGCTTTGAGCATGTCCCTCAGTGACGTGGAACTAGCGTTATATGAATAACATTATTATTATAAAATGATGCAAAGAGACATTCTGGCTGGTAAGCTACACACTGCATATGACTGAGTGACGTGGTTCATGGCATATTTCTGTTATTAAACCAGGAATCGGTACAAGATTCTGTATCGGAACGTTGCACTCACGAAATAAAAGATATTGTGCTCCATAAACTTTGTTCAATATTGTGCGTCACAACTTCTAAAATGCCACTCAAAGAAGTTAAACCAGGAATGATTAGAATGCTAACCACGGGTCAGTTTCTTGTTCTATGCAGTGTATGATCAACTATAGGCCTCACTACGGACTACACAATATGGCAACATGTAACAGATTCACTCTCTCGTTACAGTTTTCAGCTTGATTAGAAAATGTACTGACCTCAAGTTCCAGCAGACTGAAATATAAACACAATACGTGATCTGGCATTCAACTCTGACAACTTCACCGACCACACTTCCATTTCTAACACTGCATGTTCTTGTCGGCGAAGAAACCCAACCTATCCTTCAGAAGATTGTACACAGCACCTTTAACGACGGGAACCATGTTGTGTTGATGATGGTGAAAGCCACTTTGTAACATAGAATATAATTAAACATGCATGTCATACCGAATATTGTGGTGGAACTGTTCCCTGAATGCAGTCTTTGAGCTTCGTGGTAACAGACGTCGTACCCATTGCTGAGCTGAAAGTGATAAACAGCCAGTGAATATATCCTTCTCCCGAATACAAATCACACGTGCCATAGCTTATAAGGGAAGTAACTCTTTGACTTGAGGATTCGTAAAATAGTTATTAGAATGTTCAGCTGGACTTCGAGCCAGCTTTTATGAAAAATGTTACCAGCCTATTAAATGGTTACTGGTGTTTGCATAATGCGCGGTCGGTCATTTTGGAACACTGGACCAGAAATGGAAAATAATAACAAACACGAATCACCCTCTACCGTTATTTACATTAGAATGGTGTTTAATTAATCAATTTAATTAATGGGAAGAGGTGCTATACCCTGTGTAACTAACAGCAGAGAGGAAGCATGGCTTTCTCATAATATATCTTTTCTCCCGTATTTAGTCTGCCATATTGTTAACAGCCTGTATTCAGTAATTTTAATAAACTGCCAGGGAAATGTAATTGTACAACCATGATTAATGGTTGCTAAACTAAGACAAAACATGGGTATTTGCTAACGTAGTGTTTGATATGAGTATCATAATTTGAACTACTATCAGTCTCATAACGTTTTGATAGTGATTTGTTTGTAAAATACATTTTCAAGTATTTATTTCCAATCCTCGGCAGTGCGAAGTACAGGAAGTTATTGTAGTGCGTTAGGGTTTCATATGTTTCTCCAGGATGACACGACATTCATCTGTGATTAATACAGCGAGTGACACTTACGTTCCCAGTAACAATGCAATGCCAGCGTAATCGGCAAACAAGAACACATGGTGCCGAGATACAATGATAGATTAAGCATTTCAACATCAGTGGACTTTTTGCTATCGTTTGTAAACTGCATTACACACATTACACAAGTATCCAGGGTAGAATGTCAGGATCCCAGCCCCACTCATTAAACAAAATAACTTATTAAACATTGCACTGGTCAGTGAGATAATATTGCCCCTCGCTAATGATGAACGTGCTGGCCAGCTAATTATAGTACTGGCCAGGGATTGAACATTTCATGACAGGTGAGTCGACCTAATTGCCATCTATAGTCTGATCTATTGTTTTCAGCAGCTTTTCTGGAAATCCAATAACGCATCTCACTGAACGCCCAGTTAGGCCGATGTGGGATATTTCCGACATATGCTATTTTGCAATTGTGTAAATTTTTTAGGATACAGAGTAACAATCTAAACTCTTTTTCTCTATTTCCGACAGTCCTTTAGTACCTAACCCACAGGACAGAGTAGCATTTATTTAGTTCCAGTAAGCTCAGATAGTAAAGTTTACAGACATCTTTGGTAATCTATGTGCTTTGAGCATGTCCCTCAGTGACGTGGAACTAGCGTTATATGAATAACATTATTATTATAAAATGATGCAAAGAGACATTCTGGCTGGTAAGCTACACACTGCATATGACTGAGTGACGTGGTTCATGGCATATTTCTGTTATTAAACCAGGAATCGGTACAAGATTCTGTATCGGAACGTTGCACTCACGAAATAAAAGATATTGTGCTCCATAAACTTTGTTCAATATTGTGCGTCACAACTTCTAAAATGCCACTCAAAGAAGTTAAACCAGGAATGATTAGAATGCTAACCACGGGTCAGTTTCTTGTTCTATGCAGGGTATGATCAACTATAGGCCCTTCACTACGGACTACACACATACAATATGGCAACATGTAAAATATTCACTCTCGTTACAGTTTTCAGCATGATTAGAAAATGTACTGACCTCAAGTTCCAGCAGACTGAAATATAAACACAATACGTGATCTGGCATTCAACTCTGACAACTTCACCGACCACACTTTCCATTTCTAACACTGCATGTTCTTGTCGGCGAAGAAACCCAAACTATCCCTCAGAAGATTGTGCACAGCACCTTTAACGACGGGAACCATGGTGTAGTTGATGATGGTGAACGCCACTTTGTAACATAGAATATAATTAAACATGCATGTCATTACCGAATATTGTGGTGGAACTGTTCCTGAATGCAGTCTTTGAGCTTTGTGGTAACAGACGTCGTACCCATTGCTGAGCTGAGAAGTGATAAACAGCCAGTGAATATATCCTTCTTCCGAATACAAATCACACGTGCCATAGCTTACAAGGGAAGTAACTCTTTTGACTTGAGGATTCGTAAAATAGTTATTAGAATGTTCAACTGGACCTTCGAGCCAGCTTTATGAAAAATGTTACCAGCCTATTAAATGGTTACTGGTGTTTGCGAAGTGCGCGGTCGGTCATTTTGAACACTGGACCAGAAATGGAAAATAATAACAAAACACGAATCACCCTCTACCGTTATTTACATTAGAATGGTGTTTAATTAATCAATTTAATTAATGGGAAGAGGTGCTATACCCTGTGTAACTAACAGCAGAGAGGAAGCATGGCTTTCTCATAATATATCTTTTCTCCCGTATTTAGTCTGCCATATTGTTAACAGCCTGTATTCAGTAATTTTAATAAACTGCCAGGGGAAATGTAATTGTACAACCATGATTAATGGTTGCTAAACTAAGACAAAACATGGGTATTTGCTAACGTAGTGTTTGATATGAGTATCATAATTTGAACTACTATCAGTCTCATAACGTTTTGATAGTGATTTGTTTGTAAAATACATTTTCAAGTATTTATTTCCAATCCTCGGCAGTGCGAAGTACAGGAAGTTATTGTAGTGCGTTAGGTTTCATATGTTTCTCCAGGATGACACGACATTCATCTGTGATTAATACAGCGAGTGACACTACGTTCCCAGTAACAATGCAATGCCAGCGTAATCGGCAAACAAGAACACATGGTGCCGAGATACAATGATAGATTAAGCATTTCAACATCAGTGGACTTTTGCTATCGTTTGTAAACTGCATTACACATTACACAAGTATCCAGGGTAGAATGTCAGGATCCCAGCCCCACTCATTAAACAAAATAACTTATTAAACATCTCGCACTGGTCAGTGAGATAATATTGCCCCTCGCTAATGATGAACGTGCTGGCCAGCTAATTATAGTACTGGCCAGGGATTGAACATTTCATGACAGGTGAGTGGACCTAATTGCCATCTATAGTCTGATCTATTTTTTCAGCAGCTTTTCTGGAAATCCAATTACGCATTTCACTGAACGCCCAGTTAGGCCGATGTGGGATATTTCGACATATGCTATTTGCAATTGTGTAAATGTTAGGGATACAGAGTAACAGTCTAAAAATGTTTTTCTCTCTCTATTTCCGACAGTACTTTAGTACCCAACTCACAGGACAGAGTAGCATTTATTTAGTTCCAGTAAGCTCAGATAGTAAACTTTACAGACATCTTTGGTAATCTATGTGCTTTGAGCATGTCCCTCAGTGACGTGGAACTAGCGTTATATGAATAACATTATTATTATGCAATGATGCAAAGAGACATAAGCTACACCCACTGCAAATGACTGAGTGACGTGGTTCATGGCATATTTCTGTTATTAAACCAGGAGTGATCGTTATGTTACAAGCGATTCTGTACATCGGTACATGAATTGCACGTTGCACGCAATAAATAAAAGATATTGTTCTCCATAAAGTTTGTTCAATATTGTGCGTCACAACTTCTAAAATGCCACTCAAAGAAGTTAAACCAGGAATGATTAGAATGCTAACCGAGGGTCTGTTTCTTGTTCTATGCAGTGTATGATCAACTATAGTCCTCACTACGGACTACACAATATGGCAAAATGTAAAAAATTCACTCTCTCGTTACAGCTTTCAGCATGATTAGAAAATGTACTGACCTCAAGTTCCAGCAGACTGAAATATAAACACAATACGTGATCTGGCATTCAACTCTGACAACTTCACCGACCACACTTTCCATTTCTAACACCTGTTCTTGTCCTTCAGAAGATTGTACACAGCACCTTTAACGACGGGAACCATGTTGTGTTGATGATGGTGAAAGCCACTTTGTAGCATAGAATATAAATAAACATGCATGTCATACCGAATATTGTGGTGGAACTGTTCCCTGAATGCAGTCTTTGAGCTTCGTGGTAACAGACGTCGTACCCATTGCTGAGCTGAAAGTGATAAACAGCCAGTGAATATATCCTTCTCCCGAATACAAATCACACGTGCCATAGCTTACAAGGGAAGTAACTCTTTTGACTTGAGGATTCGTAAAATAGTTATTAGAATGTTCAACTGGACCTTCGAGCCAGCTTTATGAAAAATGTTACCAGCCTATTAAATGGTTACTGGTGTTTGCGAAGTGCGCGGTCGGTCATTTCGAACACTGGACCTGAAATGGAAAATGATAACAAAACACGAATCACACACTACCGTTACATTGGAATGGTGTTTAATTAATCAATTTAATTAACGGGAAGGGGTACAACCCCCGGTGTAACTAACAGCAGAGAGGAAGCATGGCTTTCTCATAATATATCTTTTCTCCCGTATTTAGTCTGCCATATTGTTAACAGCCTGTATTCAGTAATTTTAATCAACTGCCAGGGAAATGTAATTGTACATCCATGATTAATGGTTGCTAAAATAAGACAAAACATGGGTATTTGCTAACGATGTGTTTGATATGAGTATCATAATTTGAACTGCTTTCAGTCTCATAACGTTTTGATAGTGATTTGTTTGTAAAATACATTTTCAAGTATTTATTTCCAATCCTCGGCAGTGTAAAGTACAGGAAGTTATTGTTGTGCGGTACGTTTCATATGTTTCTCCAGGATGACACGACATTCATCTGTGATTAATACAGTCAGTGACAATACGTTCCCAGTAACAAGGCAATGGCAGCGTAATCGGCAAACAAGAACGCATGGTGCCAAGATGAAACAATGATAAGATTAAGCATTTCAACATCAGTGGACTTTTGCTATCGTTTGTAAACTGCATTACACACATTACACAAGTATCCAGGGTAGAAATGTCAGGATCCCAGCCCCACCCCATTAAAACAAAATAACTTATTAAACATTCGCACTGGTCAGTGAGATAATATTGCCCCTCGCTAATGATGAACGTGCTGGCCAGCTAAATATAGTACTGGCC